ATTTTGCGTCTTTACATGTTACTTTTGGGTATCCATCTAAATAACACAAAATATATTATTAGTTCATAATTAGTGAAAAGTGACTCTCTTTTGGATTAGTCTCAATCTTATAATTATAAAAAATATATATGTTATTCCTTATAAGTCTCCATATTAATAATTCTTAAGTCATAAAACTATGGAACCATAATTTGTATAACATATACTTGTATATTTACATTTATGATATTAACTATTATTTAATAAGTCTATATATATAAACTATTAGTATAATATATATACATATATATATTATAATATTATGTATCACCCCGAGCCCAAAATTTTGGCTTGGGATGACTAAGTTTATATTAATAATAATTTTAAAAATTTTAATTTTAATTTTTTTTTTGAATTTTTGAATATATATGCATTTTGTATGTATTTGAAAATAATTTTAAAAGGAAGGGACCAAACTGGAAATAAGAAATGACCCATTTAAAAACTAAAGTAAAAGTGCAAAATTGGAAAAAGTGGCCACGTAGGACGACCACGTCAATAACACGGCCAGTCACCGTGCGTCGCGTGGTAGACACGCGGATATGCATTCCACGTGGGAGGCCACACGAGTAATCCGCGTGCTAATCGATCCAACGGTCTGGATTCACTCATGCATGCACGAATGGTCTAGATTCGTTTTCCTATCAGCGCGATCGAATGACACACGTGCCTTCAATTGGACAGCTCTGATTGGCTTCCCAAATAAGTTAGATCCGATTGTGGAGATTGGCTCATGCGGACCCAAACTGACAACTGAATTGAGAGGAGATGAGTATTTAAACTTCTATTCCACCAAAACCCTAATCCTAGCCTCAATCAGTTCGTCGAAGAAAAAGAAGAAGGGCGACCAGAAGAGAACCCGACCACCGTCGCCGTCGCACAAGAGACTAAATCGACATTGAAAGGTGATTTTTTTTCCCCCATTCACTCTGTTTTTCCATTTTAAACCACCTCAAACCCTTATCGATGCCGAAAAACTAAAGGAGAAGCCAGAAATGAAGGGCAGAGCTCGATTGAGTCGTCGCACCCAAAACCAAAAAAACCCCTCTGGCGAGCCTAAATCCTTTTCCTGTTCCCTTTCATTTTTCGATCATAGGTTATCTAACATATTTTTGGTGCAGGACAACCAAATGAGGACTGCGACCGCGAGGTAGAACCGGCAGAGTCGCCATACCAAAAACTCGAAACTGTCAGTAAATTTCAGTTTTCCTCATTTTTCCACAATTAGAAGCCACTTAACCCTAAATCGCATAGATTTTCACCAAGAATCGGCCAAAACTGGCCTGACCGAGAGGGGGAGCCACATAGGTGGTGGAACCGGCGCCGTGCCGAAATCTTAAATTGACCATCATGAAAATTTTGACCTTTTTTTTGCGCATTTCCATGATACTTGACATATGTTTTGATTTTCACAGAAAAACTCAAGAAATCTGAAAACCAGGAACCGCCAGGAATTATAGTAGAAAAGGCAGTGTTCTGGACACCAATTCCGGGTAAGAATCCCTCACATTTTCTCCTGTTACGATTAAATTAAAGTTTAAACAAATGATAAATGAAAAATTATAAATGTTGGCAAACCCTTGATTAATTAAATATAGGTCACTAATGGAGACAGTAATCGGTCAGTGTATAATTGTCCTTAATTTATCTATGTTGCCTATTTGTTGTTATATTGCTTTACTTGCCTACTGTTACTTCGTGTACTTTAATTTAGTAATTTTAATTGTTCTTCTTATTTATTTAGTTTGTTCAACCCGTTTTCATCTTTATCCGTTAATTTAGTTTGAAACGAATGTCTTAATTACATTTTCTTGAATTATTGAGTATTAATTTATATTGCCTATTAAAGGATTGTCCTATTGTCCCGAAATTTTGAAATGTGAGTGTTGCATGTATTTGGGGGCTAAATGGTAATGGGGACTAGTATGCGTATGCAACATGCCAAAAAATTAAAGTGGCTTATTGGGTGTCATGGGAAAGGGTATACGGACCTGGTACATAGTGTAAACCCTGCCGTGACGTTACCTTCAGTCGGACAGGACTTATGAATCCCATACTGGAAGGGGTTGGGAATTGTTTAGTTACGCTCATTACCGGACAGAGTATTGAAGCAGTGGTGTGTTTGGTGCCCATTACTAAACGAGGTATGGAGACGGCTGGTTGATTAATAGAATGGATACTTAGTCCACATGTAGTGGGAACCCCTATGTACCCCAAGTGGTACCGGTAAATAAGTAAAAAGATAAAAATTAATTACTATTGGCCTTTTAGAATATATGATGAGAATTACTATTCTGATTTTTTACTTCATAAATAGTATATGGGAACTTAAAGGTGAGTGAGGAATAAATATTTTTAAGTTAAATGAATTTACTTAAGAAAGAAAAATAAACTTCATTGGTTGTTTTATGATTTCTACAAACATTCAATTTTTCCATATCAATGGTAAAATATTGATATTTTTATTTAAGTACTATAGTTCACTCCCTTATTATCAACTATTTTAAATTAGAATGACCAATTTCAAATTTTAATGATGAAAAGAATTTATGATTAAAAGAGTTAATTAACGATAATGAAAAATAAATATAATCAAGAGTTAAAAAAAATAATAAAAATTTAAAGTATGATATTCATCAACAATTAGTAATGCGGCAAAATACTTTCGGAAAAAGAAAAGTAACAATGAGGAACCACCAAAATAAACATGACGAACAACTTAATTTTCAATTTCAATTTCCAAAAAGTAAAATTTCAAACTTTGAGGAGTCCTTTTAAAATCCTAAAAAAATCAAACTTAATGATTATGATGGATTAAAATTTGGGGTTTATCTTTCTCTGTGATAGACAATATCGTTTACCTGCCCAGATAAAATCTAACCAACTATGCCTTGTCCGTTTAAAATTTTAACATTGTCTGTCTTAAAGCATAATTAATAAATCCTCCATCCAGCAGCAGGATTGCTACTTCATACAATTATATCTGGAAGTTGCACAAAAAACATTTTTTTTTTAAAAAAGATAGAACTTTCTTAACACACGGGACTATTCCTATGAAGGAAAGAGGCTGGAGGCCTCACATAAGTGAAGTCGACAAATGGGTTTACATTAGTCTTCGGGCTGGCTGCCGGTGAATCCAGCAAAGGCATGTCTGTCCATCGCTTCTCAAAGTTGGCTATACAAAGCTGACCGGCAACCTCTGGGCGAAAACTAGGCTGGACCTCTCTTGCTTCCAGTTTCTTCCAGTTAATTGGCTTGAACCACTTGTGCCGCTTGATTTCCTCACTTCCTGTAGCTCCACTTCCCAGGCGTTTGCTGGGATCCTTTTGTAGCAGCTGCATACAAGAACATAAATTCAATCTACTGCTAATCACAAACATCACAACTCTATTTTCATAATAATATCAACACTTTACCCCTTTCAACAGAGAATGTGCTTCACTAGTCAAAAATCCTGGAAGCTTAATCTTATCCTTGACAATCTTCCGTTGGATTTTCTCCCTGTTACCTAGAAAAGGGGGCTGGCCCAACCAAAGAACAAAACAAAGAATTAGTAGGTGGTCTACTATATGCTGTCTTATCCACTAACTAAAAGTATGTGCTTTCCAAAGTCAACCTACCAAAACTTTCCAGAGAAAAAGTAGCCAACAAAAAGAGGGCTTAAAAGTATATCCAAGTAAAACATTCGGATAATGCAAGACAGAACAAGATAATAAGAATACCAACCTTGCCAGTAAGCATTTCATACAACAGAATTCCAACACTCCACCAATCTGCAGCTTTATCATGTCCTTTCCCAAGGACAATTTCAGGTGACATATACTCAACCGTTCCACACATGGAGTTCGATCTTGTATTTTCATTAAATTCCTTTGCCAAGCCAAAATCAGTCAACATCACCTAAAATAACAGAGCACACTATCAAAAACATGAGGATTTCTACTCAATATAAATGTCTACATGTATTATATTTGCCCGGGTGCGTAAGGCATACTATATAATTAGGAATGGCAATGGGACAGGTTTGGGTAACCAAACCAAAATCCAGCCTAATTTCTTTTGTACTAAACCCCGAACCTACCCCAGACATAAGGCGGGTCTAATTTTTTTAGCTTAATTTGGGTTTTATTGAATTTGCGGATTATCCACTCTGTATAATTCAATTAGCCCAATTTTTATTTAAAGCGAAAATTAATTCAATCCAGCCTAGTTCACTTACAAGGATAGCCCATCAACTTTTTAACTTCGACCAAAAATTAAAAATAAGTAGTCTTCTAAACCCACAGTCTAGGTTCAAATCAAAAGCACAAAAAGGAGATGGCCAAAACTATGACGTTTTAAGTGTTGGTTCTTTCTTCTCCCCCTTTGGCTACATAAGATGAGAAAGAGAAACACTTTTAGGGCTTTGGCAACTCCAAGCAAGAAAAGGATTAAGGAAAGAGGAAGTGCAGGTTTGGGTGGCATAATTGCTGAGGTTCAGAAACATAGCAGTCTCAGTGGCATGGAGCAGAGGGATCTCGACTCTCCGTGATGACGATTTTGATGTGTTGATGACGACGATGATGATGACGATGATGATGTAGAATGGTAAAATTCGAAAGAAAAGGAAAGCAAGGTTGTGTGATGATAATGGTGATCCTGGAAATCCTTTTCCCTTACCTTATGGGAGCCGATAAATGATAGAGGAGTTATAGGATACTGGCAGAACTGCTGGCTGCAAGCTGCTGGTGCGGCTGCATGGGCAATGATGGAAAACTGGACTGGCGGCGAATAAAAAGATAAAGCTAGCTGCTGGCTCTGGAGGTGTATCTGGAAAGAAGAAAGTGAAGCAGAGGATGATGGCCATCGGAAGTGGACTGCTGGAGGTGTGGCGGTGGCTGGTGGTGGTGTATTTGGAAGGTAAAGAATGAACAATAAAGAAGGCTTCAGCTAAGAAAAAAAAGCCGCCTCGGGTCGGGCGGATTATGCAAGTCTAGGCGGATCTTGCCATCCCTATATATAATGTGTTACGTGCACATGAAAATCAATTAATAACACTAACAGAGTTGCCAACATATATAT